AGAAACAGTTGTATGATGTAGCATCACTGACGAGCCCTAGATGGACGAAACAGCTGTATGATGTATCAACACTGACGATTCCTAAAAGGAAGAAACAGCTGTATGATGTAGCATTACTGACGAGTCCTAGATCGACGAAACAGCTACATTATGTAGCATCACTAACGAGTCGTTGAAGGACGAAACATCTATTTGATGTAGTATCACTGACGATTCCTAGAAGGAAGAAACAGCTATATGATGTAGCATCACTGACGAGTTGTAGAAGGGCGAAACAGCTGTGTGATGTAATATTACTAACGAATCGTTGAAGGACGAAACAACTGTATTATGTAGAATCACTGACGAGTCCTAGAAGGACGAAACAGCTGTATGATGTAGCATCACTGACGAGTTCTAGAAGGACGAAACAGTAGTATGACGTAGCATCACTGACGAGTCCTGAAAGAGCGAAACAGCTGTAAGATATATCATTACTGACGAGCCCTAGAAGGACGAAACAGCTGTATGATGTATCAACACTGACGATTCCTAAAAGGAAGAAACAGCTGTATGATGTAGCATTACTGACGAGTCCTAGATCGACGAAACAGCTACATTATGTAGCATCACTAACGAGTCGTTGAAGGACGAAACATCTATTTGATGTAGTATCAGTGACGATTCCTAGAAGGAAGAAACAGCTATATGATGTAGCATCATTGACGAGTTGTAGAAGGGCGAAACAGCTGTGTGATGTAATATTACTGACGAATCGTAGAAGGACGAAACAACTGTATTATGTAGAATCACTGACGAGTCCTAGAAGGACGAAACAGCTGTATGATGTAGCATCACTGACGAGTTCTAGAAGGACGAAACAGCTGTATGACGTAGCATCACTGACGAGTCCTGAAAGAGCGAAACAGCTGTAAGATATATCATCACTGACGAGCCCTAGAAGGACGAAACAGCTGTATGATGTATCAACACTGACGATTCCTAAAAGGAAGAAACAGCTGTATGATGTAGCATTACTGACGAGTCCTAGATCGACGAAACAGCTACATTATGTAGCATCACTAACGAGTCGTTGAAGGACGAAACATCTATTTGATGTAGTATCACTGACGATTCCTAGAAGGAAGAAACAGCTATATGATGAAGCATCACTGACGAGTTGTAGAAGGGCGAAACAGCTGTGTGATGTAATATTACTGACGAATCGTAGAAGGACGAAACAACTGTATTATGTAGAATCACTGACGAGTCCTAGAAGGACGAAACAGCTGTATGATGTAGCATCACTGACGAGTTCTAGAAGGACGAAACAGTAGTATGACGTAGCATCACTGACGAGTCCTGAAAGAGCGAAACAGCTGTAAGATATATCATCACTGACGAGCCCTAGAAGGACGAAACAGCTGTATGATGTACCAACACTGACGATTCCTAAAAGGAAGAAACAGCTGTATGATGTAGCATTACTGACGAGTCTTAAATGAACGAAACAGCTGTATGTTGTAGTATTACTGACGAGTCCTAGAAGGACGAAACAGCTATTTGATGTAGTATCTGTGACGATTCCTAGAAGAAAGAAACAGCTATATGATGTAGCATTGCTGATGAATCCTAGAAGGAAGAAACAGCTATATGATGTAGCATCATTGACGAGTTGTAGAAGGGCGAAACAGCTGTGTGATGTAATATTACTGACGAATCGTAGAAGGACGAAACAACTGTATTATGTAGAATCACTGACGAGTCCTAAAAGGAAGAAACAGCTGTATGATGTAGCATTACTGACGAGTCCTAGATCGACGAAACAGCTACATTATGTAGCATCACTAACGAGTCGTTGAAGGACGAAACATCTATTTGATGTAGTATCAGTGACGATTCCTAGAAGAAAGAAACAGCTATATGATGTAGCATTGCTGATGAATCCTAGAAGAACGAAACAGCTGTATGATGTAGCATCACTTACGAGTCCTAGAAGGACGAAACAGCTGTATGATGTATCACTGACGAGTCCTAAAAGGAAGAAACAGTTGTATGATGTAGCATCACTGACGAGCCCTAGATGGACGAAACAACTGTATGATGTATCAACACTGACGATTCCTAAAAGGAAGAAACAGCTGTATGATGTAGCATTACTGACGAGTTGTAGAAGGGCGAAACAGCTGTGTGATGTAATATTACTGACGAATCGTAGAAGGACGAAACAACTGTATTATGTAGAATCACTGACGAGTCCTAGAAGGACGAAACAGCTGTATGATGTAGCATCACTGACGAGTTCTAGAAGGACGAAACAGTAGTATGACGTAGCATCACTGACGAGTCCTGAAAGAGCGAAACAGCTGTAAGATATATCATCACTGACGAGCCCTAGAAGGACGAAACAGCTGTATGATGTATCAACACTGACGATTCCTAAAAGGAAGAAACAGCTGTATGATGTAGCATTACTGACGAGTCCTAGAAGGACGAAACATCTATTTGATGTAGTATCAGTGACGATTCCTAGAAGAACGAAACAGCTGTATGATGTAGCATCACTTACGAGTCCTAGAAGGACGAAACAGCTGTAAGATAAAGCATCACTGACGAATCCTAGATGAACGAAACAACTGTATGATGTAGCATCACTGACGAGTCCTAGATGGACGAAACAGCTGTATGAGGTAGCATCACTGACGAGTCCTAGATGGACGAAACAGTTGTATGATGTAGCATCACTTACGAGTCCTACAAGGACGAAACAGCTGCATAATGTAGTATCACTGACGAGTCTTAGAAGGACGAAATAGCTATATGATGTAGCATCACTGATGAATCCTAGAAGGACGAAACAGCGGTATGATGCAGTTTAATTAATTGTTTGAGTAAATCTTTATAACAATGTTGAGAAAAATGTATTATCTTTTAAGATAACGAAAAAAGTAAAAACAAAAAATCAGTTGTGTGTGTCAAAATATATGAAATAATGATATGTCATGAAAAAAGTAGGGTTTTACAAACATTCATGAACATTTATTACGGTATAAAGTACTGGAATCAGAGCTTTTAAGTTTTTGCGTACAAAGAACATGGCTGGGACACTCTCCCTTCAACTGATACAACGGGAAAACAACACACATGTACTCTTCACTACAGGACAGTTAAATCACGTGACTATAACAGGTGGACTTAATGGCGGAAAACAAGGAAATGTATAAAAAATACTTAAGGTACAAAAGGTGAGTAAACCAAACAAAAATATTCTGCTTCTGAAGAAAAAAACCTCGCGCAGCAGTTAAATGACCAGAAAATGACATTAACAGTAGAGATTCTCTTTAAGGTTCGGTCATTGACCAGTCAAGCGTAAACTCCTCAGTACAAAGTAAACACGACTGCTGTCAACAATCGTTACTTGTTTACAAAGACTAAAACAGACAAAGTATCGAACACACGTAGATTATCAAAAAATATATCAAACACAGAAATCTGACTCCATTTGGTGTAAGATAAATATCGTTTTTATTCTACTTATAAGAAAGTAAAGAAAAAAAAAAAAAAAAAAAATACCTCCTCCCCAAAAAAACAAAAACAAAAATAAAACAAAAACAACACAAACAAAAAGAAATCTGATTCCATCTTTTATTCTACTTGTAAAAAAGTAAATAAAAAAAAAAGAAAAAATATCAAAAATAAAATGAAAACAAAACAAAACAAACAAAAAAATCAAAAAAATCGAGCATAGAAAGAAATCTGACTCTATCTGATGCATTCGGGATATCGTTTTCATCATACTTCACGTGTTTCTGTGTTAATCCTCTCTCCATCTGATGCATTCGGGATATCGTTTTCATCATACTTCATGTGTTTCTGTGTTAATCCTCTCTCCATCTGATGCATTCGGGATATCGTTTTCATCATACTTCATGTGTTTCTGTGTTAATCCTCTCTCCTTGTTTTATCTCTATTGCACCTATTTACGGTTTGAATTCAGGTCCTATTTTGCATGTCGTCATCTTCTTTGTTGTCTTTCTGCATCTGAAGAACAACAACAGGCAAAATAGTTTTTCTAACGACTTATATACGAAATGGATTAACGTGACGACATCTTTTTATCATTTGTCAGTCTTTTAATGTATGTTTGAAAACAAATGATGTTCTAAATTTTGCCTGGTTTTTCATGCGGCACATCTTTTAGTCAAAAGTTCTCGTCTCGGAAATCAGAACTTAAATAATTGCGTTAATTAGCGCATTACTAAATATGAATATGTGGAAATAAAGTAATCGTTTAGCCGTTCACAGTCGAAAATGGTCATGAAGTTCTCCAACATTTTTACGAGCAAATGCGAATAATATCTACCTATTGTACCGTGTCTGCTCCCTAAGCTTTCAGGTCAAGCCGTAGTTTCGTATACAGAGCGATGATCATTGTGACAATAAAGGGAATATTAAGCTGTCAGGCTCCAGGACACCTAATCATTGTCTCTCTGTCAATTCGGTCATAAAGACAAATCGGTCAAACGCTCTATGCCTGCTCAACCCACCATAGCGAATAATCTTCCATTATTCAAATGCCGATACATTCACATAAATTATATCTCAACAAGCGTCTTGCTGAGTGCATTATGCATTAAACATTTCTGTGAACAAGACCTGTCCTTTGACATAGATTTTTTTATTCGGCAATTTCCGGAAGAGGTGTTATTATCGATTTGGTAATTAATATCTTACGACTGTTGAACCAAAGTAAAGACAAGATATTTTGGTCAGTCGGCAGTTGTGAAGGATTCAGTTGTGCAGTGATCCTGAAAGAGAGAGTGAGGAAGAATAAAAAAACTTATAGGAAGTATTGACAATTTCAGTAAGTCGGAATTTCTCAACAGGGATTCGGAAATTGTTTACTCATATTTTTTTTTAAGGAAAAAAAACTTTTACCAATGGACCAGTGACCAATTAAATCAAAGATTTTGTATGTCATCATCATTTACAGAGGATCAAAGGATTTTTTACCCCCAAGCATGAAGAATATCGCCCGGATTAGTGTTATGATACTGACTTTGGTCTGCCTGTCACAGCAACGTCATCTTGGAGGGGTAAGACATTCGAAATAATTTCTTTAAAAATTTTAATAAAAAAAAAAGAAAAAAGAAAAGAAAAATAATAATGATTTAAAAAAAACAACAGTGTTTCTTATTTTCGTGATTTTTTTGGTTTGTTACTGATAAAAGGGCATATTTTAAGATATATATTTCATAGATTCTTAAAATCAAACTAACGATAGTATATTGAGGTAGATGTGTAATTATTATAGATATTAAATATAAACAACAACAAATATATTTAATAAACTAATATAATAATATTGACAATCATCAGCCATTTGAATTTTCAAACATTTTTTGTATATTTTAACCATACTATTAAACACATCAGGACAACTTTCTGTTCAGATAGTGAAGACAATCGGATTTAGGTTCAATAATCAACATTTCGACTTCGTTCGGAAATATTTCCTTATTTGTGTCTAAGTGTTATAATAATTGTTCTCTACATGCCAGGAACAATCGGAACACCTTGCCTTGTTCTATTTGTACTTTTTAAAAGATCTCCATGTAAATATTTCTGTGATGATACCCTCCCTAACCTCATTAATTTGTAAGTCGAGGTGACATGTCTATCCACGTTATGTAATCTGGCTTTTATCTATCGGCTACAAGGTAACATCCAGGTGTGTACTTTGTTAAACAGTCATCTTATCTCAGAATTACGATTCCACAATAACACATACGTAGAAGGGAATGATTTTTGATAACTTTACTAACAGCAGTTATCATAGAACGAAGGTTTCGGGTTTTTTTTTTTTTATATATATTTATTGCCATAATAGTCGGTTATACATTTTTTTTCAAAACAGATTCAAAATGTAAAATTATGATACAATTTCAGCCACCCTGTTCACAAACATTGATTTCCTTTATTTTTTTTTCGTGAAATATCCGTTTCTTGTTAGAAACAGTCCTGTTTCCCACTGACACAAACTTTAATTACAATATTATGATTTGTGCCACTGATATTTAACTGATGTAGAACTAAATCATAAGATTTTGATGTAGTTTGCTGAAGATATTTGGTATCTTATACAGTCGCATTGTTACAGTAGCGAATTTCTATACCACTACGATAAAACTGACACGGTTCCCACTTTGGAAACGCCAGTACTATTGATAAGGACATTCTTCCTTTGCTGATGTCTTCAATAGTACAAAAGGACGTAAACTCTCTAAACTTTGTAAACTTAAAAAAACAAAAATTATGTTACCATTTTGATATATTTCATCTTTATAATAACTACCAATTTCGAATTAAAAACGCATTTGAGAAACCGATCTGATTTGTAATTTGGTGACAATATGACTTAATGGAGATGAAACCAGTCTTTTATGTCTGAATATGAATGTAAGAGATTGTAAAGTAAATCTAGTGATAACATTGGGGGCCAAGAAATTACGATAGTTACATTTACCACACCATAAGAACATTGATTCGTAGCCTGTAATATACGTCATCACCTTCAGAATTTAATTAATGTATCGCTTCAACTTTATAAAATTTGAGAGAATTTCCGTGTACACATCCTTAAATTTAGAGAGTCAAGTAATTCATTCAAATAACATACACGATTAACTCAAAATGAGTCAGATAATATACTCCGTTAACTGAAAATGAGTCAGGTAACATACTTCCTTAATTCAAATCAGATAGTATATAAACTTAACTCAAATGAGTCAGGTACCATACACCCTTAACTCAAAATGAATCAGGTGGTATATAACCCTAACTCAAATGAGTCAGGTACCATACACCCTTAACTCAAAATGAATCAGGTGATATATACACTTAACTCAAATGAGTCAAGTAAACCATTCACCCTTAACTCAGAATGAATCAGATAGTATATAACCCTAACTCAAATGAGTTTGGTACCATACACCCTTAACTCAAAATGAATCAGGTGATATATACCCTTAACTCAAATGAGTTTGGTACCATACACCCTTAACTCTGGTTGAAACTTGTACATGTTATACTGAGCTCGAAATGGATTAAAACGTATGCACAATAGACTTGACTAGTCAGTAAGTTTTATCGTAATCCAGTCCATCGAGGTCATTATACATATTACACCAATTGACCACTCCATGACCTGGCTGGTAGAAAGATTACAAATCAGTCTCGTTTTGGGACATTTGGCTGTCATAGCTACACCAATGTACAACAGCGACATGGCAGGTTGACCGGTGACTAAAGGTGACCAATGTCCAGTACATCATGGTCCCAGATATGGAGACTACGAACTTTCTACCGCTTACAACCTGATTTAATCTCACGTTTTACCTCGTTGTACACGTGTAGTGATGTTGACCTAGTTTTTACTTTAACATTTAGGTTTACCATGAGAACGTGACGAAATGTATACTAGCATTATGACGTCATAGCTTTTATGTGGAGTTCGTTAGTAAAATTTAAGGAACGAAATCAAATGCCGACGAAAATGTTAACCTTGGAAAACGACACGAAACCTGGGCCTCCCTAAGATCCATTAAGTGATTGTGTCTTAGCGTGAGATACTTTACCCTTATTTGTTTTAGATGGCATAGGACGGATCTCCCATATGTTGTTCACTGAGATAGTCACTACCAGGATAAAAACTACCCGGCATGTCTCACAAGATGATATAAATAGCAAACAAAGTTATCTCGGAAATGGCATGTTTAAGTTTGTGAAGTATTCACTCTGTAGAAAATCTGACAGTTGATTCTGAGATGACCTTTCATGGTTAAAAATGAAATTCAACGCATTAGATGAATCAATTCGTTAGAAAACGCAGTTAGGGATAGGTGATTCTGTCGGGGTGTCCTCTATAAAGCATAAGACGCTCATTCTTCTGGAACACCCGGACTTCTTGTCCTTGTATTATTTGTCCTAGTTTTATCGAATATGAGATTATTATCTTGGTGACAAGTTGGTATTTTTCTTGATATTATTCTGCAATAATGAGTAGATCTTTGCAAATCTGAATCGATTTATTCAGAAGATGGCAATCAAAAAATGTTTCAAATTTAACTATATTACTGTATAATACCTATAGATTTCCCTTCATCTTGTTTGATATTTAAATTTAATGCTGAAATAGAAATCATCAACATCCATCTGTCATACTGCCCCCATCACATCATCACGGTTTCAGGTAATCTATGGTTGCTATGGTAGCTAGGAATCTTATTTCTTTATACAAAACCATAAACCAGGTTTTAACCGAGAGATAGATTTAAGAACAAATTAGTTGATAAGAAGTATCAACTTTTGATTTAATTTGGAATCAAAATATAATACCCTGTAAAAACTAAAAACAAGCCGACCTCGAAAATAAGACTTGCGTGAAAATAAGGCTACAGTTTCTTTCTAAAAAACCGAATTTGATTATTATTGAAGAAAATAAGCCGGATTTTAGGTCATGTATTTAGGTGAGTAAACTGATTGTTTAAACCTATTTTTCTGGCTTCCTGCCAACCCTCAATGGTTAAATATTTGTTCGTTTTTGAATTACAGAGAGAAATGACAACACAGAACAACAGATCGCCTGACAATTTACGCAGAAACTCGAAACCATCGATATCTCAGTCATTACTGAAAAGAAATGCTCCAAACAAATCATCAGATCCAAACCGATCAGCCAATCAAAACGATCGACAAAGTAGTTCGAATCTCAGGTCAGCCAATCAAGTTATCCCTTCGCCTAGGAGAGTGCGCATGAATACACAGAGCCTACAGGGACAAAAAAGCATTAGGGTTCGACAAAACAGCGGCAGACCATTGGTTCAGAATCCACAGCGAGGCTCACATATCATATCGCCTAGTGTTGCCATTAAACGTAATCAAGGGCGGCAACTCTCTCGGAGTAATTCAGCATCGAATAGAAATAACTTTGCACGAGTTGTCAGTAGCCGAAATCAAAATGTACGGATAACCAGCGGACGAAACACACACAACGGAATAGGGATAAATCGCGGTCAGACAGGAAACGGTCAGAAGATAGCAAGGCAAGAACGACTACAACTTCCTGCTCAACAAAATAGTCAGCTCGGCAGACAAATACAAATTCAACAGTTGCCAAGTAACCTTGTTACAACGGGAGTTGAAAGGGGACAAGGTTCCATAATTCGTGGACATAACAACATCGTCAGTACTGCAAGAGGATCTAGTATTATTCGACCAAATGGCATGATTCCAGGCCAGAACGGAGAGTTCAAACAAGGGGCGACAAATCAAATCAGAATTCGAACGCAAACGGATACATCGAAGCTACCATTTAACGATTTTAATAGAAATATTCCAATTATCAAGGAAAATACAGAGAGGGGGATGTGGAAGAGTGTTCCAAGCGGTACAAGAAGTGTTCCTTTGGATCAACTGAAAAGTCAGTCTAGAAGTTTCCAAAACCAGCCACAGTCGACATTAATCCTAAACACACAACCACTTGTTTCACGAGGGCAAACAAATATGAACTTAGCTAATTCCAAAAACAGGATGATATCAATTCAAACTGATCCGAATGTTATGACTCCAAATGGAGGAAATAGTATTCCCGGAAGTACCTCGGGAATAGCTGTACCAAATGTAGTACAGCCTACAGTAGTCCAGGGTCTCGGATCAAACGGGATGATAGCACTGGAACTTAATCTAGGCGCTACAACCACTAAAACGTCAACAAATGTCAATAGTATCCAGTCAGGTCTGTCTGGTGCCAGTAGCGGAAGTACTGGAACTGCCACTTCCGGTTTGAAATCTTCTTCCAATTCTCCTGGAAACTTAATATCAACAAACAATGTGTCACCACAGGTTTTACAGATACAGAAGGTTCACTCTGGAGTCACTTCCGGCGGCAAGAAGAAAATGAGTTTGACACTATCGTCTGGTCAATCAGGTAATTAATTCATGTAGAACTTTTGTAGTTGAAATTGTCGTTTATAACAACGACTCTATTAGGGATCGATGGCGTAAAGATGGAGAGAAAGACCGATTCTCTCTAGATCAGAACTTCGGCACATTGTTAACTAATGTCCATATTGAACTTCTCGAAGAGATGTAGCCTCAATGTGACCTGGTACCTTCCTACCGACTCGGGTCAGGAAAATTTTTATTAAGAATATTTTGTTAATAATTTGACTAGTAAGACAAAGATCATGGGTAAATCCTTAAAGAGCGCAGTTAAAATACATTGATTTTCGCCAACATTGAATATACATTTTTTTCAGTAGTTGGGAAAAGGATATCTCTAGATTCAAAAAAGCTTTGCATTATCGCAGTCTGAATACTATTACCTTACGGACCTTTTTTTTTAAAGCAATTCAATTTTATCTATTGTTGGCCTAAATCAGTCTGTAAAGTAAATAAAATATAAAAAAGAAAAAATATTTTTTAAAAAGTACTGGACATAGATTCTGATTTTTTTAGGTGAGAAACATTACTTCAATAAAGATTGAATGTCGTTACTTTCCATGCTGAAGTTATAATGCATTCCTATATCTTACACAGGAACACAGCCAATTGTCATAGAAGCTCTTGGTAACATCATCCTCTCACAAGAAAAGCTTCCGGATGGGCGTGTCCAATTTGTAATTAAAGCAGACCCGCCCACTTCCGGTACAACTGTTAAGTCAACCACCAAAACGACCACTCCAGTTCGGAGAACTGTAACCACGACAGCAACCACAGTAACAGAACTACCGACAACAACTACCGCCATCCCTACATCCACACCCACTCTGCCAACAAGCACTATCTTTATGGAGGAAACAGAAATGCCTGAACCAGGAGAATTTACATACCCTCCTTCTGGTTTAGGAACTACAGAACCGATGTAGTCTAGTTCAGGTTTGAAAAGTGAAACTGTTTGTGTTTGATTGTATGACGTGAAAAGAAAAATGAAGAAAAATTTAATTGCTTCGTGTCATGTCCTTGTAAATACAATATAAGTTATGTCCATATTGATTACAAATTTGACTTAGATAGAGCATGTTTAATTTGAAGTCATTTTCAGGTTAATACCCAACTGCTCAGTTTTCGTGTTTTTTAGCTATGAACAATGTGTGTTTTCGCTTTTGACACTGTGTGTTAGCGTTTGATAATATGTGTTAGCATCTGACACTGTGTTTTAGCGTTTAACACTGTGTTTTAGCGTTTACCATTGTGTTTTAGCGTTTAACACTGTGTTCTAGCGTTTAACACCGTGTTTTAGCGTTTAACATTGTGTTTTAGCGTTTAACACTGTGTTCTAGCGTTTAACACTGTGTTTTAGCGTTTAACATTGTGTTTTAGCGTTTAACACAGTGTTTTAGCGTTTACCATTGTGTTTTAGCGTTTAACACTGTGTTTTAGCGTTTAACATTGTGTTTTAGCGTTTAAAACTGTGTTCTAGTGTTTAACACTGTGTTTTAGCGTTTAACACTGTGTTTTAGCGTTTAACACTGTGTTTTAGCGTTTACCATTGTGTTTTAGCGTTTAACACTGTGTTTTAGCGTTTAACATTGGGTTTTAGCGTTTAACATTGTGTTTTAGCGTTTAACACTGTGTTTTCGCGTTTAATACTGTGTTTTAGTGTTTAACACTGTGTTTTAGTGTTTAACACTGTGTTTAAGCGTTTAACACTGTGTTTTAGCGTTTAACATTGTGTTTTAGCGTTTAACACTGTGTTTTAGCGTTTAATACTGTGTTTAAGCGTTTAACACTGTGTTTTAGCGTTTAACATTGTGTTTTAGCGTTTAACACTGTGTTTTAGCGTTTAACACTGTGTTTAAGCGTTTAACATTGTGTTTTAGCGTTTAACACTGTGTTTTAGCGTTTAACACTGTGTTTTAGTGTTTAACACTGTGTTTTAGCGTTTAACACTGTGTTTTAGCGTTTAACACTATGTTTTAACGTTTAACACTGTGTTTTAGCGTTTAACACTGTGTTTTAGCGTTTAACACTATGTTTTAACGTTTAACACTGTGTTTTAGCGTTTAACACAGGCGAAACTATTTTACCTGTAAATCTGCTATACTAACATAGGTTTTTCGTTGATCCTACACATACTTTTTTTCAAATTGCCAACATGTTTTCCTTAAAACATTCCACTCCATTATGATTGTGGGTTAATCGTCTTTTAAGTGTAGAAGTGTCTCTATGCTATATACACCGGTTTGCTAGTTAACACAAAAATCATACCATCTGAATACATCCTAATTAATTGTTGTATCATTTTCTCATTTATGCGCTTTTTCTTATCATTAATTTTACTGTTGCTGTTTTACGAGTTATAAGTTACTGATAGTTTTCTATCGCCAATAACAACAATATGTTGTATCTGTTAGCAAAATCTGTTACTTGTAATTTATGTCCTTTCTTTCGATCATTAAGTACGAAACAGGTGTATTGTATCTAATTCTAGATTTGTATTAAAACGTGCTACTCACTTGTGTGTCTTTAGTACAATTATTTAAGTCGCTACCGAAATAGACTTTGTTTATCTTTGGTATAATGTTACATAAAGGTTATTTTGTAAATAAATACTTCATGCGGAGTATGCAAGATAACATAAGTTATAGAGGAAAATGTCTCATAGTATCATTTTCTGATCTCAGCTGAGAGATTTCGTAGATTTATAATAGATTATAAAACTGAAATCATATCTGAAATTTCTAAATAAATACGTGTCATATAGACATGGTGTGTAGAAAATGTCATCTTCATGCTTCAATTTCATAGTTTTAATGAAAGGTATTCGTTATTGTTCATAATAACCAGGACAATCTGTTCCATATTTAGAATTAAATGATACCCAGTATAATTGAGATGGTGATGAGTGATGCGTTAATATGTTTATATATCAATAAGTGTGTGTAAGACGTGGAAAGTAGATACTACTCGAGATTGCACTGTTGTATAATATGACTGATCTAGTTACATTGCTTCTCTCGGTTTGATCATTGTTTATTTAAATGTAAGAACAAATGTATATTATGTAAATAAATGTGAAAATACAGTAGAACCTTGTTATTTCGAACTCTGTGGAACCATGGGAAAACTTCGAGATAACCGAGTATTCGATGTAAGTGAGCTCGAATGTTTTGTGTAAAATCAAGCAGGGACCGACGATGCGATTCGAATTAAACGATGTCTTAGAGTTAAATGACTTCGAAATAATGAGGTTCAGCTGTATCTGTTCATTTAGATATATAACAATATTTATTTGAATAAAGTTTAGAGAAATATATTCTATTTTCTGTTTTGTGTTGGGCGTGTTTGGTGCTTGCTAATTTGCCTGTCGGCTCCATGGTTGTATACCTTGTTCCCATTTGAGAACACAATATTTCTTACTTAAATTGAAGAAGATTTACATGGCGGATGCCGTCGATGGAACAGAAGACGCTTACCCTGCCGGAATACCTGGTCGTATTCTCCTTGTATGATTATGCTTGCATGTTGATATTTTCTTGTTGATTTTGTTACCTTGTCCGTCATGTTTTGTATCAAATGCTGTTTTTTCCTTATTTCTATCGTGTTGTTCTTGTCTCCCTGTACGACTCTTCTAGTTCCTCTTGTTCAGGTTTCAGTCTCCCTCTCGTATTCGAGTATGTTAATTCCATTTTTGTGGTATTAGTGTTTCTCCAGTACTCATTCTGTTGTCCTTGTGTTTGACCTCTCTAGCTCCTTCTGTTGTCCTTGTGTTTAGCCTCTCTAGCTCCATCTGTTGTCCTTGTGTTTGACCTCTCTAGCTCCTTCAGTTATCCTTGTGTTTGACCTCTCTAGCTCCTTCTGTTATCCTTGTGTTTAGCCTCTCTAGCTCCTTCTGTTGTCCTTGTGTTTGACCTCTCTAGCTCCTTCTGTTATCCTTGTGTTTAGCCTCTCTAGCTCCTTCTGTTGTCCTTGTGTTTAGCCTCTCTAGCTCCTTCTGTTGTCCTTGTGTTTTGCCTCTCTAGCTCCTTCTGTTGTCCTTGTGTTTAGCCTCTCTAGCTCCTTCTGTTGTCCTTGTGTTTAGCCTCTCTAGCTCCTTCAGTTGTCCTTGTGTTTGACCTCTCTAGCTCCTTCTGTTGTCCTTGTGTTTAGCCTCTCTCCCTCCTTCTGTTGTCTTTGTGTTTAGCCTCTCTAGCTCCTTCTGTTGTCCTTGTGTTTAGCCTCTCTAGCTCCTTCTGTTTTTGCCTTTTTCGCCTACCTTTTGTATACCTATCTGTTTCCGGCTCCCTGTTTCTCCTTTTATTTACCTTCTTTTCTCGATTTCTTGTTTTTAAATTTCGCTTCTCAACCTTCTTTTTGACCATCTTTTGTCTTTGACTTTCAATGCTACTTCATCATTATTTTACCCCATTGTGTCAATTCCAGTTTCTTCTGTTACGTTTTAAACTTCCAGTTGTATTGTTGTAAATAAACTTTACATTTAAAGTTTGTTTCCTTTTTCTTCTGTCTTTTTAAACATTGCTTTGATACTGGATCGTAAGGTCGAAATCTTCCAAAATGAAACAGGTTCTGTCTGATGAAGGTGACTGTGTAGATCTCGTACACTACGTACGTCAGTGTTAGTACGCTCTACACTGGTCATTTGTCTGATGAAGGTGACCATGTAGATCTCGCACACTACGTACGTCACTGTTAGTACGCTCTACACTGGTCATTTGTCTGATGAAGGTGACCATGTAGATCTCGTACACTACGTACGTCAGTGTTAGTACGCTCTACACTGGTCATTTGTCTGATGAAGGTGACCATGTAGATCTCGTACACTACGTACGTCACTGTTAGTACGCTCTACACTGGTCATTTGTCTGATGAAGGTGACCATGTAGATCTCGCACACTACGTACGTCACTGTTAGTACGCTCTACACTGGTCATTTGTCTGATGAAGGTGACCATGTAGATCTCGTACACTACGTACGTCAGTGTTAGTACGCTCTACACTGGTCATTTGTCTGATGAAGGTGACCATGTAGATCTCGTACACTACGTACGTCACTGTTAGTACGCTCTACACTGGTCATTTGTCTGATGAAGGTGACTGTGTAGATCTCGTACACTACGTACGTCAGTGCTAAAACGCTCCACACTGGTCATTTTCCTGATGAAGGTGACCATGTAGATCTCACACACTACCTACGTCAGTGTTTTTACGTTCCAAACTGGTCATTTGTCTGATGAAGGTGACAGTGTAGTAATCGAAACATCACACTCTAATCTTCTACTGGTTGTGTTATAAGATGAAGGTGACCGTGTAGTAATCGAAACGTCACACTCTAATCTTCTACTGGTTGTGTTATAAGATGAAGGTGACCGTGTAGTAATCGAAACGTCACACTCTAATCTTCTACTGGTTGTGTTATAAGATGAAGGTGACCGTGTAGTAATCGAAACGTCACACTCTAATCTTCTACTGGTTGTGTTATAAGATGAAGGTGACCGTGTAGTAATCGAAACGTCACACTTTAATCTTCTACTGGTTGTGTTATAAGATGAAGGTGACCGTGTAGTCATCGAAACGTCACACTCTAATCTACTACTGGTTGTCTTATAAGATGAAGGTGACTGTGTAGTCATCGAAACGTCACACTCTAATCTTCTACTGGTTGTGTTATCAGAACGTCTATTCTATATGATAAAATAATTGAACATAAACTCATTTTATTTCACTTTTTTTCATGCGTATAGGTAACTTGATAACGATGTACTGTTTATATATAAATATATATATTATTATATATGTAAGTCAGGAATACATTTATACCGGTACATATATATTTGAAAAGAATGAAATTAACACGACAAATGTATCCCGCTAACGTTTTCAGACCTAACGGTCATCTTCAGTCATCTTCATGCATATATTACATAGG